GAGGGGACAGCTTGTCCGCAGACAAGTCGCGGACAAACGCCCGAGATCCCCAGACACGGAACGCAGACGCATCGCCAACCTTCCCCGTCCACAGCAAGGCTGGGGAGGTCTCCGGCATGGAGACCCTGGGGTGAAGGTTGATCTGATGCGCCGCGTACCGAACCGTAAACGGCCACAGAAAATGGGGGGCAGCCGCATGCATCATGGACGTACGGGCGACGTCCATGACCATGCCAATGCGGCGCTCAGCAATCCCATTTTGCTGTGGAGAGTCCGGAAGCGTGAAGGTCTGGCGGATGCCTCGTGCACGACAGTAGGCTCGCAGAAGGCCAGAGGAGAACTCTCCACCTCTGTCAGAGTGCAGACGCAGAACAGGAAAATCCGAGCCGAAGCTCTGCCTGAGCTGGAGACGAGCTGCGCGGATCCAGTCGATCAACACCTCAGTGACATCACCCTTGCTGCGCAAGGGGAAGACTGTGGTGTAACGCGAGTAGTCGTCAACCACCAGCAGGAAGTAGCGCTCGTGACCCTGTCCACGGACGCGGGCCGGGCCCCACACGTCCATGTGAAGCGTCTGCAGCGGGGCCTCTGTCGGAGGAAACTGGGAGGAGTGAGGGGCAGCCCGCTGCCGCCCCTCGACACAGGGGACGCAGGTAGGGCCAGGCCCCGGAGGAAGGGGAGGGAGGGACCGGGGAAGACCAGAGACAAGGACACGGGAGGCCATGCCTCGGAGACGAAGCAGGGAGGGGTGACCAAGGCGGTGGTGCCAGAGGAGAGTCTCGTGAGACAGGAGGCGACACGAACAGGGGGCAGACTCAGGACCAGACCTGGACGCTGCAGCAAACACCTAACCCGACGCAGCTACCTGACCAGACGCAGTGACTGGAGGAGACGCAGTGGTCAGTGTGTACAGGCTCGACCCCGGCCGACGTGTAAACGTGGCCAGGTGTCGGCCTGTCCGAGCGTCCGTGCAGTGGGTCACCCGCTGACTCGCAGGAGTGAACTGGTCAACCCCCGCATCCTGTAGGTCAGCACCACTCACCAAGTTCGTAGAGAACGAGGGGAGGTAAAGACCAGACAGGGTGCCAGAGGGGGCCGCCGGACACGGGAGGACAATGGAGAAGTGAGCAAGGACAGGACCCCCAGAGGGGTCTGCCAGGGAGACCGCAACCGGCCGACTGAGCGGCGTAAGCGTGGTGCGGTCTCGAAAGAAGGAGCGGGAAGCACCCGAGTCAAGAGTGAAGGGTTGTAAGGCCTGAGACGACGTGGTACCTGAGAGAGCAGACTCACCAGCACCTGGGGCAGCAGACGCACTAGCACCTAGAGCAGCAGCCTCACCAGCACCTAGAGCAGCAGCCTCAATGCCCGGGTCAGGCGGAACACACAGGTAACAGTCACCCTCATCACTAGTAGGCAATGCATACATGGCAGTGAGGATAGCATCATAGTCAAGAGTATAGATATCTACCCGCAGCCGAAGCAGCTCCACCCAGTCGGGGAGCTCAGCCGCGTCGCCAAACTCCGTACGCCAGGCGTCGCTCAGACGGACGAAGCAGCGGGACACTGCGTGACCCAACGTCCCGCAAGGCTGACCAGTCCGAGCACCAGTGCGAATGACGTACGGACAGCGAGCAGTACCCCGTGACCCGTCACGCTGAGCGTACCATTCACGAAGCTGCTGGGGCGAAAGGACTGCTCGCGGACGACGCTGAAGCTGCACCTGGCCACTACAAGCAGCTGCCGAACTACTCACTCCAGGACGACTCCCACTGCGGCCACCCCGACAACCCCAACTAGCGTACCACTCACGAAGCTGTTGGGGGGTGAGGGACTCACGCGGGCGACACTGCAGCTGCACCTGGCCACTACAAGCAGCTGTGGAACTACTCACTCCAGGACGACTCCCACTACGGCCACCCCGACAACCCCAACTAGCGTACCACGCACGAAGCTGTTGGGGGGTGAGGGACTCACGCGGGTGACGCTGGAGCTGCATCTGGCCACGCCAGGAGCAGCAGTAGCAGTAGAAAGAGAAGCAGCAGTAAGAGCAGCAGTAACAGCAGTACGGGCAGGGCAGTGCTCACCAGTGGCGAGAAGGGCAGGCGTACGACGGCGGCAACGGCGAGGCCGCTACCACTGTAGAGCGAGAGCTCCGCGGCAGCTGCAGGGGTGGCTGCTCCAGGGGCGGCAGTTGTAGGGGCGACTGCTCCAGAGGCGGCTGCTCCAGGGGCGGCTGCTGCAGTGGCGGCTGCTCCGGGGGCGGCTGCTGCAGTGGCGGCTGCTCCAGGGGCGGCTGCTGCAGTGGCGGCTGCTCCAGGGGCGGCTGCTGCAGTGGCGGCTGCTCCAGGGGCGGCTGCTGCAGTGGCGGCTGCTCCAGGGGCGGCTCGGCTGCTGGGCGACTCGGCGGCTCAGCTGCTGGGCGGCTCGGCGGCTCGGCTGCTCGCTAGGGGCGGCGACGGGGCCGGGTAGGGGCAGCGACGGGGCCGCTAGGGGCGGGGAGCGGCGACGGGGCCGCTAGGGGCGGCGACGGGGCCGCGTAGGGGCGGCTACGAGGCCGCGTAGGGGCGGCGACGGGGCCGCGTAGGGAGGGAAGCGGCGACGGGGCCGCTAGGGGCGGCGACGGGGCCGCGTAGGGGCGGCTACGAGGCCGCGTAGGGGCGGCGACGGGGCCGCGTAGGGAGGGAGGCGGCGACGGGGCCGCTAGGGGCGGCGACGGGGCCGCGTAGGGGCGGCGACAGGGCCGCGTAGGGAGGGAGGAGGCGACGGGGCCGTTAGGGGCGGCGACGGGGCCGCGTAGGGGCGGCGACGGGGCCGCGTAGGGAGGGGAGCGGCGACGGGGCCGCTAGGGGCGGCGACGGGGCCGCGTAAGGGCGGCGACGGGGCCGCGTAGGGGCGGCTACGGGGCCGCGTAGGGAGGGGAGCGGCGACGGGGCCGCTAGGGGCGGCGACGGGGCCGCTAGGGGCGGCAACGGGGCCGCGTAGGGGCGGCGACGGGGCCGCGTAGGGGCGGCGACGGGGCCGCGTAGGGAGGGGAGCGGCTACGGGCCCGCTAGGGGCGGCGACGGGGCCGCGTAGGGGCGGCGACGGGGCCGCTAGGGGCGGCGACGGGGCCTCGTAGGGGCAGCAACGGGGCCGCGTAGGGAGGGAGGCGGCAACGGGGCTGCTAAGGGCGGCGACAGGGCCGCTAGGGGCGGCTACGGGGCCGCGTAGGGGCGGCAATGGGGCCGCTAGGGGCCGCAAGGGGCCTGGAAGGGCGGCAACGGGGCCGCTAGGGGCGGCGACGGGGCCGCTAAGGGTGGCGCGAGGGGCCGTGAGAGGGGCCTCTAAGAGAGCTCGACAGAAGGGCGGCCCACAAGGCGCGCCTCGGGCAGGAGCGACTGTCGCTCCGGTCAGAAAAAAAAGGTTTCAGTGGTGGGCCCAAGGAAGCGTTCCCACTAGGGACCCTGCTCTATACCATGTGAAGAAATGAGGAATGAATTGACTAAGGGAAAGTTGGGTACAAAAGCAAACCCTAGAAAACTGTACCCCATATGTGCTACCCCACTATAGCCTACAGTAGCTATGTCATATAAATCTGACAATTTGCAAGCCACTTTGAGCGTTAACGATCGCATTCAGCCCCTTCGCCCCTGTTGTTGCTGCAGCGTTGTCACCTTTGCGGTTGCGTCAGTAACCCTTATCGCTTGTCGCAAAGTTCCTCCTGCATTGCCTTTGATTTCGTGTTTCTTTGCTCAATCCTTCCCAGCTCGTCTTCCCTCTTCAAAATTATTGTTTCGGGTTTTTCCCGTTGGTCCCTTTGCTTCGTCTTGTCCCCGTCTCTCTTTGCCTTTCTGCCCGCTGCTGTTGCGTCCCTTATCCCATCCAACCGCCCTCCCCTGCGTCATAGCCTTGCACTAAGTGTTCGTCGATTATATGTATGTACCTTTGGAGCAATCTCAAGGTTCACAAAGTGTGGAAATCGAGACCCATTCAACCTTCCCATATGTATGTACCTTTGGTTCGCTCACGATCCCTTCCTCCTTTCCCTCTTTTGCTCGTCCTTCTTTGGGTTTTCTTTCATGTTGGAGTCGTTCAAATCTCACTGCTACTGCTGTGCTGCAACTTCTGGATGTGTGTTTTACACACGACTTTGAAAGTTTTTTTAACGCTCATAATGTGTGCCCAAGCGACCCCGGATGCCACTTGAGCTCCCAACTCACTATTTGGAATTGATGTGAACTTTGCCTATGCTGTCCCCACACTAACCTACCGACAATTCGGATCGATCCGCTCTCGGCTCACGCTTACCTCGACCTTGCGCGCTTTTCTCAGCCCCTTCAACGCTTTTCCCTGCATTGTCATTTTCGATAGGCGATGCTCGGATCTTGTGCACTTCGTGGTTCCCCTATACATATTGTTGCTTCATGGTTGGAACCTATAGCTTTCACTTTTCCTCGTTCGTGAGCTCTCATTTGCCAACTTATCTTCCATCTCATTTCAATGGATTGAGTTATGCCCGATGTACCTCCAATTACTGCTAACCATAAGTTTCTCCTCAAGGACATAACTGATAACTATTCGCATTCGGATCCTGGCCCCTCAAAGCCCCCTGGTGCTTTTAGGTCATGCGTTGCCCCCTCCAATAATTGTTAGGGCGTGTAACCATTTTGATTCCGACCGTCCGTTTTAGCGAAGGGTTATCGCTGTCGCAATTTGTCGTAGAGGTGCTCGTTAAAACCAATGCAAATTCGCCCAGAATATGAACCGACGTGACACCTTTTCAATAACCCAACGGTTCATAAAGCAAACTCTTAACAGTCCGAAAGCACAACGGACGGTCCAACTGTCGAGCGCAGGGATTTGCGCGTGAAATCGAAAAACCAAAACATGTCGCGCAGCCTCGCAGAGTTGGCGGTAACCGCGATTCGACGCAAAAAAATGTGATAGTTCATGCATAGCCACGGGAGAAGCCATATACAAATGTACTCCATTGATCGGCCTCTATCATTCCACTACCAAACATGGACCCCTCTAATAGTGCCCAGAACAGAGCACCGACGAACACCGATCCTAGCACCTCGACGCCTGCACCCACCGACGCCCCACATACTGGTGGAGTGCTTCCCAAAACCCAAGAGTCTCAGATCCTTGGCCCTCCCAGCACTACCAACGCCAATGCCACCGCCGCCACTGTCACTCCTACCGACTGGTGGGTATACCACATTCCCTCCCCTAGCGCTAGTTACGACGCTGACGAAGACTATGGTTTCGGCGCAGTAGGATCTAACGGTGCCGCCCTTGGAGAAATGGAGGAAGAGACCGCGGAGCCGGAGAGCGTGCCTACCACCAGCACTGCGGGTGCTTCTCGCCGCTCAACAGCCATGAACAACCCGCGCTGGACTCCGGAGGAGGAGTGCGAGGTGCTCGCCACTTTCATCGATCTGGATGCCGAGATCCGCGCGCGCACGGGCCGACAGGGGCGCAGCTGGTACCCCCTAGTCCAATGGGAGTTGTTCGATCGTGATCCGGCGTGGAGGCACGACGTTTCTGCGCTGAAGGCGAAGTACAACCGCCTCAAGGAGACATGGCGTTGTCTCAACGACCGCATCAAGCGCTTGGGAGAGGGGCGTGTCCAAAACTTGCCGCCCGTTGACCTGCTCAATAACCATCCTTTGCCTTGACTGCTGCACATTCCACTTGTCTTGTGTTGTGGCAGAGCCGTCCCGGTGTAGCACGCCATGGGACGCACGTGAAGCTCGTGAGGGCGTACGCGGTATCAGTCACTAGCATGTAGTTGCCACGTTCGCCTGCCTCCATCCGCCGCATCAGAGGGGAATTGTTGAAGACGCGTGCGTCATTCACGTTCTGGGGGTAGCCTGCATTGTAGTCCCAAATGATCCCGTTAGAGTCACATGCTATTTGTAGAATCATTTAGTAGAAGCCGTTGTGTTTTTTGAAGTCTTCTTTGTCACACCCGAAGCCTCGACACTCAATAAGTGTCCCGTCTATTGCGCCAATAACGCCAGTTATGCCCCCTTCATAACGAAACTCCTCCGCAATTTCCTCTAGTTGCTCTGCCGAAGGCCACGACGCCCACAGAGGTAAGAGAACATCAACCACGAAGCCTATGAAGCCGAGCACTATCCTCTGAGCATGCTGAAGCACTACGCCAAACTGTAGACCAAGCTGCCGAAATGTTGCCCTTCTCCCAAGATAAACTAAGGTCATGGCAACACAGGTCTTGATAGGCACAACACGCCGCCTATCACCATTTCGACTAATCCATGCGTCCACAAGGTAGTAAAAAACACGTCGATTTACCCCAAAAAGTCTCGGTGAAAAGCTGCAGCGGCATGGTGTTAAGGAGAGCGTCCCAACGCTCTCTCTGGTTCTCACGGTCCTCCTGTATGACATTAAGATCGTCATTTTCTAGAAGAGCTATCACGTCGACGAGGTAGTCAAAGGCGGGACGCACGATGATCTTCTTGTCAAACTTATATGCTATAGTCTGTGTAGGCTGTAGTGGGGTAGACTATATGGGGTACAACATTTCTAGGTTTTCCTACTTGTACCCACCTCTTTCCTAGTTCATCCATTCCTCATTCTTCACATGGTATAGAGCAGGTTCCCTCGTGGGAACGCTTCTCAGGGCCCACCACTGAACTCGATCCTTTTTTTCCTGCCCGAGGCGCGCCCCGTAGGCCGCCCTCACGTCGCGCCCTCCTAGAGGCCCCTCGCGCCACCCTTAGCGGCCCCGTCGCCACCCCTTACGGCCCCGTCGCCGTCCTTTGCGGCCCCGTCGCCGCCCCTCTAGGCCCCTCACGGCCCCTTCGCGGCCCCGTTGCCGCCCCTCTAGGCCCCGTCGCCGCCACTCTAGGCCCCTCGCGGCCCCTTCGCGGCCCCGTCGCCGCCCCTCTAGGCCCCGTCGCCGCCTCTCTAGGCCCCTCGCGGCCCCTTCACGGCCCCGTCGCCGCCCCTAGCGGCCCCGTCGCCGCCCCTATCGGCCCCGTCGCCGCCCCTCGCGGCCACGTCGCCGCCCTTCGCGGCCCCGTCGCCGCTCTTCGCGGCCCCGTCGCCGCCTCTAGCGGCCCCGTCGCCGCCCTTCGCGGCCCCGTTGCCACCTCTACCGGTCCCGTCGCCGCCCTTCGCGGCCCTGTCGCCGCCTCTACCGGCCCCGTCGCCGCCTCTACCGGCCCCGTCGCCGCCTCTACCGGCCCCTTCACCGCTGAGCCGCCCAGCTGCTGAGCAGCCGAGCCGCCCAGCAACCGAGCCGCCCAGCAACCGAGCCGCCGAGCCGCCCAGCAGCCGAGCCGCCCAACAGCCGAGCCGCCGAGCCGCCCAGCAGCCGAGCCGCCGAGCAGCCGAGCCGCCGAGCAGCCGAGCCGCCCAGCAGCCGAGCCGCCGAGCCGCCCAGCAGCCGAACCGCCGAGCCGCCCTGCCGTCGAGCCACTACTGTTCCTACCGGCGCGCCCCGGCCCTACTTACTCGGACTGGTGAGATCACTCCCTGCTAGACCACTGCTGTCATGGCTACCCCCAGTGTCCTTACCTTTGATGCTGAGGGTCGTGCCGTTGACTTTGAGGTCTGGGTCGATGACCTCCAGCTGTTCCTACAGTGCGATAGGGCAGACGGACTCTCCCTGTTCGATCTCACCTCTGGTGCCTCTCCTGCCCCGCCTACTACTGCTGACAGCACTGTTCGCTCACAGTGGGCCACACGCGATGCTGCTGCCCGTCTTGCTGTGCGTCGCCACTTACCGACCACTGAGCGTACGCACTTTAGTCAGTACAAGAGTGCTAAGACCTTGTACGATGCTGTAGTTGCACGCTACTCTTCCCCTGCCACTGCTGCTCTTAGCCGCCTCATGCTGCCGTACCTGTTCCCTGACCTTGCTGCCTTTCCCACAGTCGCTGACCTCACTACGCACCTTCGCACTAGTGACACTCGCTACCGTGCTGCGCTTCCTGCTGAGTTCTGTGCCAAGAACCCCCCCCCCCATGTACATCACCCTCTACTACATAGTCACCCGGCTCCCTGACTCCCTTCGCTTAGTCAGGGACCACTTCCTCTCAGTTTGCCCCACCACACTCACCGTTGACCTCCTCGAGGAGCGCCTCCTAGCAGCAGAGAAGAGCATAGTCGCTGTAGGAGCCTCTCGTGGTGACCCTCGCACCCCTGTCTTTGAGGGGTGTTCCCCCTCCCCCCTCTTGCCCTCTGTTGCTTCTGCTGCTGCGGCCGACCTCGTTGGTTTCGAGTCGGTCGGCGCTGCGTCTGCCCCTAGCGGGAGACGCCGCACCGGCAAGGGCAAGGGGGGCAAGGGCACTGGAGGGGCTGGCGGGGGCGGTGGAGGTGGTGGTGGAGGCCGTGGAGGGGGTGGGGGTGGTGGTGGGAGTGGTGGAGGGGGTGGAGGTGTCAGTGGCAGCAGTGGAGGCGGAGGAGGCGGCGGTGGTGGCGGAGGGAGCGGAGGCGGCGGAGGTGGCGGAGGCGGCGGAGGTGGCGGAGGCGGCGGCGGCAGCGGTGGAGCTGGTCGCGGCTCTACGCAGAGGAGTGGTTCCGGTGGTGGTCCGCGCCAGCAGCAGCAGCGCACTCGTGAGACCCCGTCCCCTCAGCAGCTTCGTGAGTGGTATGATGGGCGTCAGCGAGGTGGGGGTACTGGTCCCTGCACCTACGTCCTCCGTATCGGCGACCGCGCTGGTGAGCAGTGCGGGGGCCCGCACTCCACCCAGCGCTACTTCAGCCGCCTGACGGACGCGTGGCATCACCAGTTCCCTGACGCCACTGAGATCCCTCGCTGGGGAGAGCTGTCTAGGGCGGGGGTTGCTATCTTTGATCTTGATTATGAAGCTATTCTTGCTGCCATGTATGCTGTGTCTACTAGTGATGAGGGTGACTGTTACCTGTGTGTTCCGCCTGACCCGGGCATTGAGGCTGCTGCTCTAGGTGCTGGTGAGGCTGCTACTCTAGGTGCTAGTGCGTCTGCTGCCCCAGGTGCTGGTGAGTCTGCTCTCTCAGGTACCACGTCGGCTCAGGCCTTACACACCTTCACCCTTGACTCGGGTGCTTCCCGCTCCTTCTTTCGAGACCGCACCACACTTACGCCGCTTAGTCGGCCGGTTGCGGTCTCCCTGGCGGACCCCTCTGGGGGTCCTGTCCTTGCTAGCTTCTCCACTGTCTTACCGTGTCCGGCAGCCCCCTCTGGCACCCTGTCAGGTCTCTACCTCCCCTCGTTCTCTACGAACTTGGTGAGTGGAGCTGATCTACAGGATAGGGGGGTTGACCAGTTCACTCCTGCGAGTCAGCGGGTGACCCACTGTACGTGTGCTCGGACGGGCCAACACTTGGCCACGTTTACCCGTCGGCCGGGGTCGAGCCTGTACACACTGACTAATGAGTCTCCTCCGGTTGCTGAGTCTGGTCAGGTAGCTGCGTCGGGTCAGGTGTTTGCTGCAGCGTCCAGGTCTGGTCCTGAGTCTGCTCCCTGCTCGTGTCGTCTCCTGTCCCACCAGACTCTCCTTTGGCACCACCGCCTTGGTCACCCCTCCCTGCCTCGTCTCCGAGGCATGGCCTCCCGTGTCCTTGTCTCTGGTCTCCCCCGGTCCCTCCCTCCCCTACCTCTGGGGCCTGCCCCTACCTGCGTTCCCTACGTCGAGGGGCGGCAGCGCGCCGCCCCTCACTCCTCCGAGTTTCCTCCGACAGAGGCTCCGCTGCAGACTCTTCACATGGACGTGTGGGGCCCCGCCCGCGTCCGTGGCCAGGGTCACGAGCGTTACTTCCTGTTGGTGGTTGACGACTACTCGCGTTACACCACGGTGTTCCCCTTGCGCAGCAAGGGTGACGTCACTGAGGTGTTGATCGACTGGATCCGCGCAGCTCGTCTCCAGCTCAGAGAGAGTTTCGGCTCGGACTTTCCTGTTCTGCGTCTGCACTCTGACAGAGGCGGGGAGTTTTCCTCTGCCCGTCTGGGAGCCTTCTGTCGTGCACAGGGCATCCGCCAGACCTTCAAGCTTCCGGCCTCTCCACAGCAAAATGGGATTGCTGAGTGCCGCATTGGCATGGTCATGGACGTCGCTCGTACGTCCATGATCCATGCGGCTGCCCCCCATTTTCTGTGGCCGTTTGCGGTTCAGTACGCAGCGCATCAGCTCAACCTTCAGCCCCGGGTCTCCTTGCCAGAGACCTCCCCCACCTTGCGGTGGACGGGGAAGGTTGGCGATGCGTCTGCGTTTCGGGTCTGGGGATCTCGGGCGTTTGTCCGCGACTTGTCTGCGGACAAGCTGTCCCCCCATGCTGTTCCCTGCGTCTTCCTTGGCTTCCCCCCTGACGCGCCTGGGTGGCAGTTTTACCACCCCACCTCGCGCCGTGTTCTGCCCTCTCAGGACGTCACCTTTGACGAGTCGGTGCCTTACTACCGTCTCTTCCCCTACCGCACTGCGCCCCTCCCCCCGCCGCCGCTCTTCCTTGCGCCAGGTCCTCCCCCGGTAGACCCCCTCCCCCCTCAGGGTCCTGTCCCGTCAGGTGTGTCCCAGGTAGACGCAGTCGAGCCTGTCGAGGTAGCTGTTGACTCTGGTGCTGCTAGAGGTGCTGAGCCTGCGGGTGCCGGGTCTGGAGGTGCTGAGCCTGGGGGTGCGGAGCCTGGGGGTGCTGATTCCAGGGGAGCGGAGCCTGGGGGTGCTGAGCCTGGGGGTGCTGAGTCTGGGGGTGCTGAGCCTGGGGGTGCTGAGTCTGGGGGTGCTGAGCATGGGGGTGCTGAGCCTGGGGGTGCGGAGCCTGGGGGTGCTAGGTCTGCTCGTGTGG